TTGCTGCCGCCTCACCACCATCACCATCACCACTGCTCTCACTCCACCACCACCTCTTCCATACCAACCACCACCACTACAGCCACCCCACCACCACCATCACCATCGTTGTTGCTACCTTACAACCACCGCTATTGTCCCACCAATACTTTTACCCCCTACCACCCCGCCACCACTATCACCATTGTCATCCACGGTAGTCACCATCACAATCGGTCGTCGTCACCCATCACAACAATCACTATCTCCCACCACCACCACTACCACCGATTGTTCTAACTATAACTAGTACTTAATTTTTTCTCTATTCTCTATATTTATAATTTGATTTTGGGTGTGAATACAAATATATTTATTATTATTAATTTTTTTTATTATTTCATATCTTCAGGTATAGGAAATAACTAGTATATATACTATGGGTAATCTGTGCCTGAAGGCACAATAAAATATGAATAATTTTGAGAGGGATGTTGGTGGCCTTTGAATGAGCTTGTTAAAACTTTCTTGTTTTATATTATAGATCGACGTATATAAAAACTAGGAGTTGGGGCTCTTGACCTAAGGTTCACTCCAAATCAATATGGGTGNTTACCATTACCACCACCCACACCGGCCCCACCACCACCATTATTGTTGTCACCCATGGCTCCCACCATCACCAACAATCATCGTTACCGTCCACAACAATCACCGCCTCCCACTATCATCACTACCACCGCTCGCCTCCACTACAATTGGTGCTTAAATTTCTTTCTTTCTTTTCTATCTTTGTGATTTGACTTAGATGTGAATACAAATATATTTATTGTTGATTATTTTTTTATTATTTTGTGCCTTTAGGCATGAGAAACAACTAGTATATATAATAAAGTATAAAACAATTCAAATCTCAAAAAATAAANGTGCCTAAAATACCCTTTATAATATATGGTATAATACATAAATAAGTAGAACATCGGTCCCAAATTAGCAGTAAGAAAAACATAAGTAATTTTCGGCCTCAAAACAAAACCTCACTTGAGAGAAAAAAAGACTCAACATATTTGATTAAAATGTGTTGGTTTGTTATCATATTCTATTAGTTTTATGATTAAGAGTAAATCAGAAGAAACGTTTAATTTTAAAACGTGCGTATTATGGTAATTTTTTAATTCTANAAAAAATAAGTCAATAAAGGTGTGTTTTGGATGATTTTTTAAAGGTACTTCTAGAACTTATAATTTCTAATAAGTACTTTAAAAAAAAAAGTGTTTGAAACCACCTCACCACCACCACTAACATCACCACCCCCACCGCCCCACCATCACCACCACAACTACCCCCACC